TATGTATTCGTCATTAAATATTTAGGTGGGTGGGAAAATTAGAGTACTTACATTTTTATGTTTAAAAAATCCTTTTTAAAATAGTTTTTACCTATAAGAGCATCACAATTTTACCTTTAAGAGCATTTCCTCTTATTTTATATGATATTCATTGCATCCTAGACTCACCGGCAAAATGGCAACTTTAACATGAGCTTCTTTTATGTTTTCTTTCATTATTATTATTGTTTCTTGCAGCACATAATCTTCACTCTCAGTAGCTTGATTATGGACATGCAGTGAGAAATTGGGTTTAGCTATCAAGTGAATGGCAATGTCCCCAAGCAGTCCTTTATCTCGAACTACTTGTAACTGAAGAATGGTGATGTTCTCTGTGAGAGAAACATGCCTCAAGTAAATAAGCTTTTCTATTTGCTGTCAATGCTGTTCCAAACACTTGGGGTGGAATGTTCTGCTCTATCCCTTTTAGACAGTTAAGGATAGAGAAGTAAAATAAAGACAATGTATTATTCTGTGCTTTGTTTCCCTTGTCCCCAAAGTTGAGCTGATAATCACCATCCACTCCTAGCATTACATCCCAGTTTCAGTCACTCACTTCTGATTCTCTAATGCACCCTCCTGTGTTGCACATGTCATACAGAAATTGCTGAAAAGTCTTAGGGAAGTGCATCTATGCAGGATGAGCAGATATGATAATTACCAATGCAAAAAGATTCTTCAAAAAACACAAAGTCATCATTTAATGACTAATCATTAGAAGAAGAGCCAAGTTGTTCTTACAGCGATGTGCCTAACACAGGCTCAAAGTATTTCACAGCACCTATTTTTTATTTCATTTCTTAGAATTTTAAAAATTTAATTTGCCATATAAAATGAAAAAATAAAGCCTGGCAATCTCCCCCACTGGTCTGTGAGTTCCTGATAACCAAATATTATGTCTTTGTTCCCAGAATACACAGTGCAATTCCTGGAACTTACTTGGTGCTTCAAAAATGTTTGTTGAATGAAAAAAGAAACAGATCATTTTATCATTAAGTCTATTGCTTCTCTTTCTGTACATATGGATACATAAAGGCCCAGGAAAATAACTACATGTCATTTTTTTTAATCGACTGTTTAAATGAAAGGTACTTTAAAGATGGGTGTCCCTGTTATTATCTGAAAATTTTAGAACCTTCACATAGTATATTCTAAAT